TAAGGATAAGAGGATAAATTTTCGATAATCGTCTCGCCGTTTCAAATTTAGCTCGACACGATAAATCGTGTAGATTTCGATCAAACAAATTATTCCTTTGAACATTTATTTTTGTTGATTTTTGTTACAAGTCGAGGGAAAATTGCTTGGCAATTTCACATTCGCGATATTCGAAATATAAACAGAGAGGTTAGGAAAAATTCTTCAAAATTGATCACTGTTTTTAATGTACCGTATTGTAATTTATTACGATATTTAAAATATTATATTTGATATATAATAATGAAGTTTGGATAATCTCCATTATTTCTTCTTTCTTATTTTTTTAAAGCGAAAGCTTGTAATAAAAAAAAAAAAAAATAGAAACATCAAAATCCCGATACTCTGTCCATCTTCAAAATTTTAAAAGCTTCGAATTGGGTATATTCGAAAACACGAGGATTCAAGACCTTTATTATTAACAAGAACAGTAAAAAAAAAAAAAATTCATTCGAACAACATCTGATATATTAACTCGCGACTCGTGCTTCCATCGATCACACCACGCAACTCTAATCATCATTGCACGATTATATCAGTTTAAAAAAAATGTTTACAAACTCGCGCGTTATTGATCGTTTATTTCAATCTAGCATTCGCTACGAAAAAAGAAAAAAAAAAAAATAAAAAAATAAAAAAATTCAAAGAGAAGATTACAGATATACTATTACTCTTGTAACGCGACTCTCGATGTAACGTCTTGAGCAATCTCGAATCTCTTCGTTTCTTCTTTTTCTTTTTTCTTTTTCTTTTTTTCTTTTCTTTTCTTTTCCAACACGTTACACACAAGTATATTTCCTTGGAACGAGGTTGAAGTGTTTCGCGGAGTCGGTGGTTTTATCCGATGGTTGTATCGATAGCGACCGATAAGGCGGCACGGCCACTGGAGGAAGGCACTGATAACAGCCGTGCATTATCACGGGTGAGCATCCACGGCCTCCAGTGTCGTGTCGCATCGGGAGAATGGGACGAGCGATAAACACGAGGCAACGTGTTTTATATACCATGGGTGACGAGTTTTCTTCCTTCACAGTGTACACTTATGGCGACGCACTTGTGCACACCACCAGTGCACAGTTACGTAAGCTTTCTTGACTCGAAGAACAGCCTTTAACGTCTCGATTTCTGCACAGCCACTACTTACCCTTACATCTCTCCCCTTCTCCCCCTCCTTCCCTTCTTCAATTCGCCTCTTTGAAATTCTTGCCCAACGTCTCTTGTCTATTGTTGGCGGTGCTCAAAAGTTGGTATCCATTGCAGTTAGAGAGAGAGAGTTCTCTACCTTTTCCCTCGCTCTTTGGAAATTGGAGCGACGCCTCTTGTCGCGACGTCGATGGTTGTTAATTGTCAAAAGTGTTTGTCTTTTGTTTACGTATATATTCTTCTCCCAATATTTTCTTCCCTTTTTTTTTTTCAAAATTTGTTGATGATCGATGATGGATTCCGTTTAATTGATCTGAAAATTATCGTGAGCACTTGCAATTAGTAATTTAGTAATTTTTTTGAAATTTGGTCTTGTATAGTATATAATTTTCAAAAGTATTTTTGTCTTATGAATGCTTGAATTAGTTACTTTATTTTCTTTCTTCTCGTGTTTTAAAGTTATTTATTTCGTGATTTGAATTAAGAGAACTATTCTGGTTAATTTGATCGACATCTTTGTGAAGAATGTGTGTATTATGAATATAATGTAATAGTATTGTAAATACGCTCACAGAATAGAGTTTTTATAAATATTTGTTCTTGTAAATTTGAGTTTCCTATGTGTATTTTAACTGAAGTATTTTGGTTTGTTTCTCGTTGCGTTAAAGAATATAATATATGAATACCAGATAAAAATAAATTCAGTTTTTAAATATTTATTTTTTATTCTTTCTTTAAACGAATTTCTTATATTCGATTATTTAGCGAAATAATGAATTTCTTCTTTCGAATATAGATCTCTTTTTTGTATACTTCTTTTCTGTAAAGAAATGTAAATACATATTTGAAATATTTAACTCGAATGCAAATGAAGCAAAGATTTTCTTATATCTAATTTTCTTAAATACATAAATTTAAATATTAATTTGAACTTTAAAATCATACACACAAGTTCAGATTGACGCAAGTTAAACACCAGTTTACATCTAATAAAATTAATAAATATATATATCCCTAACAAATTATTAAATAATTTCTCTATCTATTGTGAATAAAGCTTGTAAAGAAATAAGTTTGTCAAAATCATT